CATCGTGACTCCCCCTTTCAGTAGGAGTTCACTTTGTCTTTTTCACTGATTTCTTTAGAGCAAATGCAAATTCAGTGGTATGATTTTTAATCATTATTTCGTCATTCTTTTCGTCCTAAAAGGATTTTTTTTAATTACGGAATCGTTGGAGAGACAATTGAGTTGCATGAATTGATTATTTTTGTCATTTTGCATAATCAAGGAATTTAAGTCAATTAAAATAATGAAATAATGAATCAATAGAAGAATTCCATGAAATCTCAATTGCACCGCAATGTCAAATCAATTTCATCCTCAACTCTCCCCAATGTATCAAAAATCATACATCAACACGAGCTCAACGGTTCGTTGTAATACGCACTACATTTTTATAATTCCTAATTTCATTTTCCTTAATTAATCGCACTGAATGTACAAGTAATGTTTATCAGAAAATAAGCGACAGTCTGGCGTGCAAGTTTTATTAACTTTTATGTACTCATTATTTTTTTTGTCCTTTCAATGTTTATTTTTTCTTTCATTATGTATCTTATTAATTGAATATATCGATGCGCATAATGAAAAGCGGGCTCTAATGTATATATTGGAGAGTGATTTTAATCACGAGGGCATCGTTATTTATTTCTCTTTAGTCTGGATTTTTTGTTCGGTTGATTTGCTTTTTTTTCTTCTACATTGCCTTTCTATCCGGCGAATGAAGACACCCACCCGTAAATCAAGGGGCTTTTAAGCCGGATTTCAGTGTACACGCAAATTGAAAATTCTTTTTTTTTGTTCGAGGAAAAAAAATAGATTTATGACCACATTTTTGACACAATTTGCAGTTTGTCTCGTGAACCTGGCGGATTTGTTTCACTTTAAAGTGTCACATTTGTTTTTTATCGATACGATACCAGGTGATAAATTGATTAAAAAGACTTTCGGTCTATTGGATTATTTCATAAATTGTTACAAAATATTTGTCGATTGATAAATTGATCAGTGATAAAAATTGATAGATATAAATATTGTCGAGCGAGTTGTAAGTCGAATGATTATTTTTTTTCATCATCTTTTACTTCGAAATACTCTTGCCAAATGTATATATCTCACAGCCGTATCCAAATAATGTTATTCCTACATTAAGATATGACTCGAAAATTGTCAATATGCGAAAAAGGGGTTTTTCGAATATTAATTTAATACCAATAATGATTTTCAAAAGTAATGATTAGTTTGAATAATTAACGAAAGAAAATCATGAGCGAACGAAATCAAACATGTCCATGAATTTCGATAAATTACTCAGGGACAGCCACATTATTCAAACGGTTGTGACGATACTCTCTTGATTGAATTCCCAAAACTCCTAAACACATCAATTTTACCTACAATTACTCGATATGATAGTTTCTTCATTTAATTTACATGATCTAATTTATTACTCTTCTCTTCTTTTACGCTTAATTCACTACGTCGACGTCAAATATTTTCTGTTCCGTTCCTCTTTCATTTCAAGTTTCACTCGCTACACTAGGATTTATGGGACTATCTCATGAAGATAATTACGAATGACAAAGAACCCTCAGATTATTTTTCGTGATATTTAACTCAATGCACACGAACTCAAGTCTATGAAGGGATGAAAATTATGCGGATTCAGTGGAGAAGTTGTTAAACTGGATGAATTAACTTGAGGATAAGATGCTCGCTGATTAATATCTCTGAATTTAAAAACGATTTCGAGATATTCATCGAGAACTCGTCATAAAGTGGAATTATAAAACAGGATAAGTCATGTGAATTCTATTGTCAGTTCTGTCCAGATATCTTTGAAAAAGGGAATAATGAGAATTTGAAAAGGACTTTTGTAGGGCCAAATTATTAATTAAATATTGATTGAAAGATTCCATCACCAACAACATAATTCGACTTGATTATGATTTGTCATTAAGCATTTCCCAAAAAAAAAATTCAATCATTTGGAAAAAAATTTCAACCATTTCTTGTATTCCAAGAAGTGAAGTGAATTCATTCTGTTATATTTCTGCACTGAATAATTCCATATTCAATTTATTGCACACGAACTGAAGTCAGTGAAGTGATGAAAAATATGTGAATTCAGGGGAAAAATTGTTAAACAGGATGAATTAACTTCAAGATAACTTCCTCACTGATTAATATCTCTGAGTTTCAAAACGGTTTCGAGATATGCATCAAGACCTCGTCATAAAGCGAAATTATAAAACAGGATAAGTCATGTGAATTCTACTGTTAATTCTTTTCAGATATCTTTGAAAATGAACGGAATAATGGGAATTTGATAAGACCTTTTGTAGAGAAAAATTATCAATTAAAAATTAATTGAAAGATTCTATCATCAACAACATCATAAATCAACTCGACTTGATTATGATTTGTCATTAAGCATTTCCCAATGTTGGAAAAAAAATTCAATCATTTCTTGTGTTCCAAGAAGTGAAGTGAATTCATTCTGTTATATTTCTGCACTGAAAAATTCCATATTCAATTTATTGCACACGAACTGAAGTCAGTGAAGTGATGAAAAATATGTGAATTCAGTGGAAAAGTTGTTAAACAGGATGAATTAACTTCAAGATAACTTCCTCACTGATTAATATCTCTCGAGACATGCATCAAGAATTCGTCATAAAGCGAAATTATAAAGCAGGATAAGTAATGTGAATTCTACTGTTAATTCTTTCCAGATATCTTTGAATGAAAAGAAAAAAATTATTAATTAAAAATTAAGTGAAAGATTCCATCATCACCAACATCATAAATCAGTTCGACTTGATTACGATTTCTCCATAAGTATTTCCCAATGTTGGAAAAAAAATTCAATCATTTCTTAAATTCCAAGATATTTCCTGGCAACAGATCTTCAAGTGAAGTGAATTCATCCTGTTATACTTCAGCACTGAATAATTCCATATTCAATTCAATGCACACGAACTGAAGTCAGCGAAGAGATGAAAATTACGAGGATTCAATGGAGAAGTTGTTGAATACGACGAACTAACTTGAGGACATTGCTCACCCATAAATATCGACCGAACTAAAAAAAGATTTCGAGATATTGTGAATTCCACTGTCAGTTCTTCCCAAATATCTTTGACACTAAAGAAAAATAATGGGCATTTACCAACAACTTTGGTAAACCAAAGTCATTAATTAAAAATTGATTCCAAGATTTTCTTTAAAAAAATCATAAATAAATTCGACTTCACTCTGATTTCTCAATTAATATCTCACAATGTTCGAAAAAAATTCAATAAATTTTGATATTCAAAGATATTTCTCAGAGAAATATCTTCAAGTGAAGTGAAATCATCCCGTCATACTCCCCCACTGAGAAATCCCGCTCAAACAACGAAAAGAACACAACACCATTACGACCAGAAATTCAAAGCGCCGGGGAGTCCGACGAAAAGTTAGAATCCCCCAATAAACCGAGAATTAAACCGTTTTTAGGCTACTTAAGCACTTTCCCCAGAACAATTCCATTAAATTGTAATATCGTGAGTTCATCGTTGAAGCTTCCTATGTACAATTCAGGGATAAGACGCAGGCCGCATTGCATGCACTCGATGTTTCCATTTGTTTGAATATCGATCGATTTTTGACCTGTCAATGACAGAGACTATTGTCTCACCAAATCGTTCTCAACACAATGCAAATCATTCTCGTTTATAGTACAACTTATTGGCTAGTTGTATCGTTACAAATATTGCCTCAAATATAAACACTTTTCTCTTAGTCTATTGAATCACTCGTTCGTTCTCACAATTGTTCATCCATTCACATTTTGATCAATCGAACATACAATCAGTGGACAATTAATTCGGGCCCTACGTTTATCGACCACGTGTGTGGCCACAAAATGACCCTCGCACTTTTATTATCTTACATTTACGTATGGCCGAGGAGTCAAGTCTAATATTTGTTCTCATAATTCTCATGTTTTCACAATCTGCAGGGGTAAAGTATGTCATGTAAGTTTCATTAGCTTGGTTCACGTTATTCGAAAATTATTCAGAGATGTAAATGAGGTAGTCCATGACAAATGAGTCAACGACTGACCCTCAACCTTTTGGAAATTGATCTCGATTTTTTCTACGATTGGGGGGCTAGAAAAAATATCTCTCAATTTTTTTCAGATTATGATTTTTTTGTTTTTTCTTTTTTTTCGATAACTCGAGTTCTATTCAGCCGATTTTAGTTTATGACGACTCAAAATTTTCTATTTTCTGCCATCCATAAGAAGATTTCGGGCAATTTTTTTTTCAATCGTTAGGTGCTCGTAATACCGAATTTTTAAAAAGAAAAAAAAAAGAAAAACTTGAATTTTCAAAATTATGTCACCTTTTATTTTTCTCATTTTTTTGAGTAACTCTTATAATCAAAACAAGCATTTTGAGCTGTTATACAAGTTGGGTTTCGTCCTGGATCTATTTTCTTTTTTCTTTTTTCTTTTTGAAATTCTGCGAATTTGGTAAAAACACCCCAAAACGACTTCGAGTATATAACATATAAATATACATTTAGATTCATATCATACTGTTTGTAATCAAAGTCAATCAACGCTATTTTGAGGTATTTTGACCAAATTCATTGAATTTCGAGTAGAAAAAATTGAAAATAAAAGAGATCTAGGACGAAACCTAACTTGTATAACGACTCAAAATACTTCTTCTGATTACAATACTTCTTCTAATTTACTGGGGGAAAAAAAAACAACAACTTTGAAAAATTCAAGTTTTCAACATTTTTTTTTTAAATTCGGTATTACGAGCACCTAGGAGTTGGCAAAAAAAATTACTCAAAATCTTCTTATAGCCGATAGAAAATGGAAAATTTTGACGTGTCATAAATAAAAATCGGATGAATAGAACGGAGTTATTACAAAAAAACGAAAAAACAAATAAAAAATCATATCCCTGAAATGGGCTGTTAAAAAAATCTGAAAAAATCGAGGGATTGTTTTTCTAGTCCCCCAATCGTAGAAAAATCGAGATCAATTTCCAAAAGACTAAGGGTCAGTAGCTGACTCATTTGACATGGAACACCTCAAACGTTAATCCCCCAATTTTTCTCTCTCTCTTTATCTCTCATTTTTTTTACATTTATTTTCATTTTATAAAAACATCCCTTGACCCGACAAAATATTGCCAAGGGATACTAATATATTATATCGTCAAGGTCATTGCGTGTTTTCAGTTAATTTGTTTTTTACTTTGTTTTCTCAATATAAAATTCAATTCACTGTTCCGCATGTCCGATAAATCGAGTACTCGTTTCATAATATAAATTTTTTGTTTGAACACTGCAGCCATTCTCTGGACTGAGCACCGAGTGACAAATTTTTAATTGTTCTTAATTAATTAGCAGTCGAGATTTCGTCAGTTTTGTTTGTTCAGGGGGAAATTAACACCGATTTTGTGACGAGTTTCATTATCACCCGGATCGATTGATCAATTAATCATCAGTGGATTGGATTTTTCATTCGATACGTTGTCGGATTGTATCGCCGAGTCTACATCGCCATCAGATAATTGCACAGTGAGAAAAAAAAATCCTAATAAAACCGAGAAAAAACCACGAGTAGTATAACCCGAGAAACAAGAGATGATTCGAAAAATCCACATTTATTATCCCGTTTTCAATCAACCAATCGTGCATTGAAATACTTCCAACAAAATAATTCCTCTGATTTGAGTATTCCCCCGGAAAACATTCCCCCGATGAAAACCCCAATAGCACTCGGCAGTTGTCCATTCGAGTCACGTGTCACAGACGCTGACTAAATATTAAAATATTCATTTCACCCAGGTTCACGGAAAAATCGAGATTAAAAAATCAGGAAACATTCGTTGTTTCGGATTCTATCGACAAAAGTTATTCGTGAGAGTGATTACCATTGATATGTATATTTAAAAAGACTCGCCACTTATCGTTTGGCAATTTCAGCCTCTAGTCCGTGACCACAGAGCCCGAAAAAAAACGTCAAGATATGAACGGGGACTCGACCCACTGGGCGGTTCTCTACGACGATTTTGGTCCAACCCTTTCCCTCTCTCTCTCTCGCTATCATATCCGCTCTTTCCCAAAAAAATGAAAAATAAACTGCAGAGAGGAAAGAAGAAAAAAAAGTATATCGAATATAAACGTTACTCTGTTTTACGCTTTCAGTTGCCTGTTGTTTATTCATCCATAGGGCCAGAATGTGGTCAGCGGTTGTGAGGATAATGGAAGTTGTGCACGTGGTAATGCCTGTGGTACAGCAAGTGGTGGTGGTGGTGGTGGTGGCGGCGGTGGATACAAACTCGGTGTTGTGATAAGAAGATGACAGGAAGGTGGTAGCTGTGCTTGCATCACTGGCGATATGGCAATGGCAGTTGCACCAGCTGTCGTTGAATGTACACTAGTATCATTTAATGCCGCCTGTGTTACCGTATTCATGCACAATTGATGAATATTGTAGTGTTGTTTGCGCTGACGTTGATTCTTGTAGTATATTTTTTGGCCCTGGATTACCTCGACGTTCTATTCACCGTCTTGCTGCATTTTCGAAACATGGCCATTGCCAGCTGAACTGTTTGGTGAATTTTGTCCAGCACCACCGCCGGGTGGAAAATTCGCGGGTATTGTGCGCGACGATGAGAAACACAATTTCATTATGTACGGAAATTTACCGTTACTGTTTTCAAGCGCTGTGTGATTGCACTCCATTATAGCAGCAACTGCTATACCAACGCTGCTGAATTCGATGAGACCCGATGACGATCTTTCGGACTTTAGGGGAAACAGTTTGACGGTCGTTGGGGCCTCTATTCCACGCTCAACGAACACACGGTTCACTGTGTCCTCGGTTAGATCTGGTGGTGTGTTGAAGAAGTGGACTATCTTCGAGGGGGGCTGTATCCTATTTTTGTTGGCCATTGCTGGATTTAGAAACCTTTGTTCAACATGAAACAAAGAAGTTTTTTATTGGTTTTAAATGGTATAAATGTAAGTTGGATTTTGAAGTTTTGAGGCCCGGGTGGATTATCTTTCGAACGTTATCTCGATTGTTTTTCCATATTCATAATGTATAATATATAGAGATGCGAAGGCGTCATGTGACCGTTCATAAAGTGGTCATGTGACCGTCATTTTTCTATGACGGTCACAATTGGCCGAAAAACTGTGACGGTCATTTTGCATCTTATAGATGAAACACTTTTTTGCTCATCTATTTTTTTTTTCTAATTAACTAGAACTCTTGACTTCGTTTATTTTGTTCCAAAGATGAAAAGTGGAATCATTCTCTTATGAGTATGCCAAAATATGTGTAAGCACATGTTTTATAATTTTATAATTAAAAAAAGCTGTTGTACAGTTGTACACATATATTTCGAGTCTTTCATAAGAACCTTATAATAAACGGTAATTGATAATCAATAATAAATTGAACGAATAAACGATGCCAATTATGTAGAAATTATATGACCATCACAAAAAGCAATATATTTATGACGGTCATTTTGCACCTATATAGATGGTTTGGTAACGGAAATTACTATTTTACTCTTTTGACGGTCAAAAAAAAACTCTTTTTTAATTCTTTGTGACGGTCACAAAAAATTTGTGACCGTCATTTGCCATTAGAAATTTCGGGACGTCACATGACCGTCACAAGACTGTCATTTTTTAGTCACATGACACATAGAATGACATTTAGAATTTCCTCGGGTCGAATTTTCCAAGTTTTTTCGTTTGATTTTCTTGATGAGAAGAAAAGAAAAATAGAATGAAAACAACTTGAGTCGAACTTGAAAATTTGAGTCGAGCAAATTCTATAGAAAAATCGAATTCTGTTGACTTTTTCTATTAAATGTTTTCTACTGAACATGTCAATAGAATCAGCCAAAAACTAATAGAAAGTTTGATAGAAATTCAATAGAATTTTCTAACGAATTCGATAGGTTTTTCTATGAAATTTTTTCGTGCGTGTAACGATCTGACAGCCATTGACTACTGTGACGAATGGCGACCTAACAGCCATTATATTAGATACATCAAATTATTAATTTGCAATTTCCTACCTGTTAAGTTTATTTCCCAAAATTATTCAAAAACGCTCTTTGAAAATGTTCAGCTTCTTTTCAAAGTTTTTTTGATTGTGCAATCTAAATTTTTGGAGACTCCAGGGCTATGTAAAATTGAATAGCAATTGGAAATCATTTCGGATTATCAAAATGAACAAAAACCAAGATCACGTTCGAAAGATAATCCACCCGGGCCTTAAATCTAAAATAAATTCTAAACGGAAGTTAAGGGGAGACTTCTATAAGTTTTAAAAGTCGCAGGCGGCTGGAGTGAGATTTCTCATGCATTGATTACTGCACGGATTATGTTTGTCTAAAAACGAATAATGGTGCAAAAAAGTTGGTTCTGTATTGTTAGTTTGCTCCGCACGCGCTTAAAATGTTAAAAATAGTCCCGGGCCTCCAGTTTTTGAACTAGAGATTTTTCCTTTTACTCCTCTTTTTAGAGGCGACTACTATGAGTTTTAAAAGTCACGCCGTATTGGAATGAAATTTCTTATACATTGAAGGTCGATTATATATGTCTAAAAACGAATAACCAGTGCAAAAAAACTAATTCTTCATTGTTCGTTTGCCCCGCAGACGTGTAAAATGTTAAAAATAGTCGAGGGCCTCCAATTTTTGAGCTACAGAGGGTTTTTTTTCAATTTTTGAAAAACTGTGTGCAATAACAACTACGAATTAGTTTTTTGAAAGTCAACTCCTACAAAGCTAATTTCGTTATTTTTAAAAATAAAAAATTGCAACATTCATGTAAAATAGCCCGAAAAATGTGTCTGAAAGAATCGAGAATATATTTTAAATATTTCAAGGATAATTTTTCTGTCTACTTCATGGGAAAGTGGTAATCGCTGTACAGGGTTGCCACTGAGCAAAGCACCCTAAAGTCAAACGAGAGACTATTGTTCGAACAAATAATTCGAAGGAACAATTTGATCGATTCATTTCTTACATTCACAAAAGCTAGAATTCACAAAGAAAATTATGAATGATGAATAATTATGTTTTTGGGAATTTCGAATTTATCTTTCGTTGTTTCATACTATTTTAAATGTGGGTTTGAAGCATAAATTTTTCATGGGAACTAGGGTGTTCTCTAGAGGCTTCGCCAAATATCTTTTTTCACTAGCACCATTAAATATTGACAAAGTGAGGATATTCAAGTACTTCTTACAGTTTGTAACGATCATCGAATTGCATGAGGAAAATTTAAGAAATTTACAAAAAGACCTTTTTTCTGTTTTACAGATAAATAATGAAAATCGTTGGAACTTTCGACGATTTCACTTCTTTTAGGAAGAACTAGATTTCGGAAAATTTTTAATGCGGAAAAATTTGTTATGATTCTGAAACGAAGGGATTTTCTGGGGAAAAACCGATTGTTTATAAATTAAAAATTTTCTATGAAGAAAAGTCATAAACTTGAAAATTTCCAATTGTTCAGATATTCCACGAATATCGATTCATTTTCATGTTCATCTTCATTTTCATAAATTAAATTGTAGATGATGGAAAATTGGAAAAATAATAACAACTCTCATTAGCTCGTCAGGGATGCGACATTTCGCTAATTATTTTAGCCTCATCAGACTCTAGAAAAAACCCATCGTTTGCTTGTTTATATTGATTTTTCACTAGAAGACTGATGAAGCCAAAATAATTAGCGACAGGTCGCATCCTTGCCGATCTAATCAGAGCAGTTATTTATTTCTCCAATTTCCCACGATCTTCAATTTAATTAGTCTATCCAGGCTAATCTAAACCTTCATCAAAAAATTATGGCGATAAACTGGTAAAATCATCGGCGTTGCACACAACCGCGTGTACTCGTAGCAACTTCAATAATCAATTGAACACTAAAAACAACGATAAAACTCCTCTAGATATCTCAGACAATTTCTTTCATTCATGAATAACTATTATTTTGAAAATTAATTAAACTAGCATGGTTCCGCGTTTTTAAAAAACTAATGAGAGACTCCTTAAGAGATGATGTATTTAGCTGAAAACATTAAGGTGTTTCATTTGTAAATCACTTAGAGGGGGTGAAATGAAAGGGGAATCTTATTGTTCTCGAGCCCTGATTCAATCGCTGAGCGCGAAATTTTCCAATTTTTAAGTAACTATTAAGGCCTGGGTGTACTATCTTTCGAAAGTTATCTCGATGTTTTTTCTTATCTTTCGTCATCTGAAATCGTCAATTAAGTCCTGCATCATGCAGAAGTTTTGAAAAATTATGAGTGAATAATAAAAAAAAAAGTAGCAAAAATTCTTAATTTTTTCAAAGAGCATTTTTAATTGATATTCAGAATAAGTTGAATAACAAGAAATTGAAAAATGTATCTGATTTACGGTGACAAATGGCGGCCTGTCACCCAATATCATGGAGGGGGAAGACTGATTTCGTAAATCTTTTCCCACACTCCACAAAGACATTTATTACGGAAAAGGCTCTTTGAAAAAAGTTGTAATATTTTGGAGAATTTTTTAATCACACTTTTATTACATAAAAATGGGAGATGACTACATACCACTTTTTTGAAAATTGAGATACCTAGCTGTCACTCCCCATGAGAAGTTAGTGTTTTGTTATCCACCATGGAAAATGACAGTTAATAGATAATTTGCCACGGCAAATCAGATATTTGCAATTTCCACTTTTTTCAACTCATTCTGAATCTCAATAAAAAACGCTCTTTGAAAAAGTTCGGAATTTTTCCTATTTTTTTAATCATTCTATCATAATTTTTGGGAATTTCTACATGATGTACCACTCAATTGACAATTTTGGATTACGAAAGATAGAAAAAATCCAGATAAGATTCAAAAGATAGTACACCCGGGCCTTAAGTGTACATTTGAATATTTTTTGAATATTGATTTTATTCATCAGGTCGATTGATTTTTTTCTCATCACCTACGGGTGTCAAATAATTTTTATTGGATGTTTTTCTGATTATTGAAATAATATTAAAATGCGTCTCGAGTTGGTAAACCTGTCGATAGTTTTCTCTCTCTCAGTTCCATGGTTCACCTTTCCCATGATGCTCACTGACATTCGAATCAGGCGCCTGCGCGTGAAGGCGTAATTGCCCCGAAACTCATAATTTTCCGAATCATTTGTTCAAATAACTTTTTTACGAAATCCGAAAAAAATCTAAAATTTATACGTGTTCTCAGGAAAGATTTGCTTTATCACCCACTAGTTTTTCCTCAATAGTTCATTATTTTTTTGGGTGCCATGGAAATTTTCCTAATTGAGAGTGGGGTAACCTCGGAGGTTATAGCTGGAACGATTACAAAAGGATCTAAATTTCATTATTTTTTTTCTTGAGACTGAGATCTGAAAGAAATGTGCAAAAATTCTCAATGCTATAGCATACTCAGAGATTTCTCGCATGAATTTTCCTATTTTTTTTCAATATTTTGGGCTTTTCACACGAAACACCTTAATTTTGTGAAATCAGATTTTTTCATCCCAATCTAACGGTTCAAGCTGGAGAATCAAATTTTGTTGAATTTAGTCAAATTTACTTAATTTAATTTTGAATAATAAAACCATCGCCAAATATTCGGTGACCCAGGGTTGAATGAGGCTCAAATGAGAGTTGTAATAATGTTTAACTACACATTTCGTATTGTTTCAACAATTGTAGTTAGAAAAATGACTGAAGTACTTGGATATCCTCGCGCCAACAATATGGCGTTCTGAGGTCAGTGACAAATATTTGTGACACGTCATAAGATCGTCATATTTTAACTAAATAGATCGTGGTCACTCCTCAATTTTATGACGTAAATTCTACGTGACCGTCATATTCCATCTAAATAGCAATAAAAATGTCACATTTTTCGAAGTCCCATAATGGCATCTCAATTTTATGATATTTTTTATGACAGATTCTACGTGACCATCATATTCCATCCAAATAGTAGTGACGATGTCAAGCTACTCAAATTAAGACAAAAAAATGATGTCACATGACTGTCATGTGACGGCCATTTTCAAATTCCAAGTTGCACTGTCAGAAAAAATTAATTTTATTGTAAATTAATGCGAGTCTGCGAGATTCTAGTGAGCTTGACATCTCGCTAGAATCTCAAAGTATTTCCGCGGAACAATATTCATTCTGATTCGAAATACGAAATGCTGAGTTCAATTATAATTTACTTCGAAACAATGTATGTTTGTGTTGATTGATAAGTTAAGAATTAATTTCTCATTTGTGAATAGTGGATGATCAAAACAAAGAACTACTGTCTCTTTGTTCGCATAAAACAAACATTTTTCAGGAGCAAAATACGAATGGGAGTATCGAATGATGAAGAAGTCATGCTAGAAATGACATTTCTTGCTTGCCCACAGAATACAATTCTTTTGGAAAGACGAAGTCTATTTTTAACATAAGTAAGACTTGTTTGAGAACTCTCTCGTTTTTCTCTCATTGTCGAAGAAAGTCTACCAAGAAATCTTTTCTCAAATATTTTGTTTTATTTTCCTAAATTCCAAGATTGCTATCACATCATTCTCATTTTATTCAAGAATTAATTCCTCATTCGCGATTAGTGAATGACCCAAATGAACAACTGTCTCTCTTTTCGCGTAAAACGAACATGTTTCGGACGCAGAATACGTATGAGAGTAGTAAATGACGAAGAAGTCGTATTAGAAATGAGATTTCTTGCTTGCACAAAGAGTACAAATTTTTTGGAACACTAATCAATTATTACGACAAAAAGTTTCCATTTCGATGTATACTTTACATGTTTGGCACAAAAATCCTTTTTTGGTCATAAAAAAAACGATTTTTTTGGCACAAGTAATATAATACTTGCCTGAGAACTCCGCCATTTTCCTCTCAGTACACTGAGCAGACAACAGTTTTTTTAGAAGTACGTTTCCTTGTATCATGAAATTCATGGCTTGAAAATTACCAAGCACACAATATGTCATACTAAGAAAAAAAATTTATACTTCTCCGAAAGACGAGGGCAATTGGTTCATATCAAGAAAACGAGTTCTCAAATCAATTCAAGTGGTTTTTGCATTAAAATATTTTAGAATTGAGGCTAAATGACTCAATTCTAAATTGAATTAATTAATTCAATGTTACTTTGTTTGAGAAATCGCTTTCTTGTCATCAAGAAATTGTCCTCGTCTTTAGGATAAGTACAAAATTTCTTGACGAAAGTTGTTTTTTTTTCTTAGTGCAAGATATTTTGGTCTTGAATGTAAAGTTGAAGTTCAGTAAGTTAAAGTTAAGGCTCGGGTGTACTATATTTCGAATGTTATCTCCATGTTTTTTTTCATCTTTCGTCATCTGCAATTGTCAATTAAGTCCTGCATCATGCAGAAGTGTTGAAAAATCATGAATGAATAATACAAAAAAAGTAGAAAAAATTCTCAATTTTTTCAAAGAGCATTTTTAAATTATATTCAGAATAAGTTGAATAACAAGAAATTGAAAAATGTATCTGATTTACGGTGACAAATGGCGGCCTGTCACCCAATATCATGCAGGGGGAAGACTGATTGCGTAAATATTTTCCCACACTGCACAGAGACATTTATTATGGAAAAGGTTCTTTGAAAAAAGTTGTAATATTTTGGAGAATTTTTTAATCACACTTTTATCACATAAAAATGGCAAATGGCTACATACCATTGTTTTGAAAATTGAGATACCTAGCTGTCACTTCCCATGAGGAGTTAGTGTTTTGTTATCCACCATGGAAAATGACAGCTAATAGATAATTTGCCACAGCAAATCAGATATTTGTAATTTCCACTTTTTTCAACTCATTCTGAATCTCAATTAAAAACGCTCTTTGAAAAAACTCTATTTTATAGAATTTTTTCTATTTTTTTCTCATTTTCTCACAACTTTTGGGAATTTCTACATGATGTACCACTCAATTGACAATTTTGGATTACGAAAGATAAAAAAAACTCCAGATAACATTCGAAACATAGTACACCCGGGCCTTAAGTTAAATTTAAGTAAAAAAGTTAAAGTTAAGTAAAGACGTACTTCTCAAAAAACTTTGCTTTTGTCAGTGTATGAATTATCCCCCACCAACTAAAATCCCCCTCACAATAAACCCCCTGAATTCAATCTCCACTCACCTATTATTTTTGCTTCCAGTAAAGTCTTTGAAACTAGCCGTCTTATCAGGTAGAATATACGGATTTGTGACGTCAGCGAGAAATGCCTGTTTAGAGAAGCCCAACTGCAACTTGCCCTCGGCGCCAATAGTGACGTTGTTCAAATTCTGCAAACACCTCTCCACAGCTATACTATCCCCCATTTGTATCATAGCACATCCCTCCTTGGTCTTCAGGAATTTCACCTTGGTCACATTACCATACAGACAGAAAAGATTAAATAGTTTATCCGTATTGACTTTATCAGACTGCAGTCCGTACACCATCATGACAGAGCCCTGTGCACTAGTTGGTGGATTTTGTCCAAGACTCGGTACATAACCGGGCCTAGCTGGTGTAGGATGAAGTGGTTCACGACCAGCAAAGTCACTCTTGATGCCATACCTCTCGACATATGGCTCAGCATACGTTGTTGGACCGTTGAAACTCTCCTCATAACGATCATGCCCAGCACCGGGTGGAAATGTCACTTGCGGTGTTGAACCTTTTCATAGAAATAAAAAAAACAAGTGGCGTATTGCACAGGTCTAAATCAAGTAGTTTTTCGCTAAAAATTAGCAATTTGCTTCCGAATGTATTAATCGAATTAATTTCTATCATTAATTTCAGATTAGTAGGGATTCTTCCTGAGGTTAACCTCGGAAAAATGTAATAATTTTTTTTAAAGGCCATTTGAGATCAATGTTTTGTAGGGAACTGAATTTATTTTAAATTAGACAGATTGAGAGATAACAAAATGAATGCAAAATTTGATATCACAAGAGTTCATGCTCCTGATACATCAATGTTGATGTCTCCTCGGTCGTTAGTAAATTATTTGAATTTTATTTTTCTCCTGAGTAGCTTCCCTTAAACTGGACTTGAGACCAGTATAACTTTTTTGCTAATGAATTAGCAATTTGTTTCTGAATGGTAAGTTGGGGAAGATATACCAGCCATGAAACTTTAATATGATCCCTAAATGTCCCAAATGTCTAACATAAGCTCCATACGCCCTGGGTAAACATCTATCAGGCGCCGACTAAATTAAAATTAAACCGGTTTACACTTCCACTGAACGTTGATGAAACCTAGACGAAACCTTGGTTAAACCCTGATTAACCTCTGACTAAATCACAACTAAACCCTGACTATACCCCGACAACTTCGAATCAACCTTGACTAAACTCCGACTAAATCCGGACTAAACCTTGACTAAACTCCGACTAAATCCCGATTAACCCCTGACCAAACCCTGGCTAAACTCCGAATAAACCTTGACTAAACTCCGACTAAATCCTGCCTAAACCATGATTAAACCTCGGTTAAATGCTTTTTAAAGCTATAATTCCAAATCAAATGATATGATCGCCACAATCTTTGAACTCGACCGAGATAACACCCAAACGAATATTTAAAGCCATAATTGAAAAGATTTCGATAATTATTTTTTGAATGATCGTCGAAAACCTAAATTTGGACATGATCTAAAAACAGCACATTCGAGCTCCTCCGACCAAAATAAGCCACCGTCCCACAAAAGACTGGAAATTTCAAATTTGACGAGTACAATGCGTCCATTCGGACGCAAAAGTCGAAAAGAGCCCACGGGTATGTCAACCCAACGCTAATGGAATACAGTTCTATTTTAGTTGGATAAATTATGTAAAATCCGGAAGAGGATTACCATATGGCTGTGGAGCTGCACCGTATCTCGGCTCAGCAAGAAGTGGCGCCGGCCTACCATTGCCACTCGGTTCTTTTTGGTGCCCACTTGAACCTAAAAACACACAATATACCATTTCGTTGAGAACATTACCATGAATTTTTCAACTTTTCCAGCATTTCCATTGTCCCATCTTACTCCTGCATCATTATCATTTCTCCCCCTCTCCCTCCCCCCGTGGAATATCTCTCGGTTATTCCATTGCCCTCTGGATGCATTTCCACTACTACTGACAAAGCAAGTAGCAAGTGTAGCAACCGCACCTAGAGCCCACCGGATCGATCCGCACTCCTATTCACTGCACTTGAATTCTAAACGCCCGTCGTTTCACTCCATCTCCCTCGTTCCCTGCTCCTTCGTGATAAAACACTATTTGTTCAAAGCCCATTTATTTCCACTCCTCTTATTTTTTCAGCCTTAACATTATCTAGTTACTGACTACTGGCTTCTTCCTTTTCTCTGTTCACTTCTGGCCTGTTTTTTCCTGAAAACTTTTTTCAAATATTTCTCTCTCTCTCTCTCTTTTTTTTTTCGTTTCTTTCTGGCAAAAAAGCAAGCGCATTTACTTACCGTTGTAGCTGTTGGACAATTATCCTTGGACAATAATGAATGAACAAATTTGTCTCTCGCCCCTTCTCAGTAGCACATCTGTCCAACATTGGAGAGTACGCAGGAGTACGGGGGTAGGGAGAGCAGCATTAGTCGTAGACCTGCCTAAGCCTCACTCACCGGCCCTGACTTGTCCCACATGTCAATCCATCATCGCCTCAAGTCAACAATGTGATGGCCGCATCTGCACACAGACAAACATTCCAACATAACATCACTGCCTTCCTGCAATCCTTCCCTCATTCGAATCATCCCTGCATTCCGTGCAAGTATTAATCCATGGCTTCTTTGGGAATCTTGCAATTTATTTTTAATCATCAGTTTGTTCTTCGTTTAATCCAGTGGCAAACGCATTAAACGTAACGAATCAATTTGGTCGTTCTCGTTGATTCTGTTTGTCTCGGGAAAGAGTTTTTTGATAAAATGTCAGACACTTTTGACGAGGATTCAGTAGCGAAGCGGCAAAACGATTTAATTCGATTTCGACTACTCGTCAGTTTTCAACGAATATCTCGAAATCTAAAAAAGATAGCTGAATTTTTGTCGTGACCTTTTTTGTAGAGCGAATTAAGGACTCGAGAAAAGGTCGTGATGAAAATTTCGGTATCTCCCTTAGATTCGCAGATATTCCTCGAAGACTCTACTAAGGGCTCAATCGACTTAGTCAACTCGGTCCTTAGCGGTTTTCGAGGAATATTTTCGAATCTAAGGGAGATAACGAAATTTTAGTAGAGACATTTTTTATAGCCCTCAATACGCTCTACAAAAAAGGTCCTGACAAAAATTTTGCCATCCCCCTTAAATTCCGAGATATTCAATGAACAGTGGCCAATGGTAAAAATCAACTTGAACTGTTTTACCGTTTCGATGCTGAATTTACGACAAAAAATTACAGACATTTTCCTTCAAAACTACTCGTTATCGAGATTATTGGATTCACGAAGACAATTCTATTGAAAATTACCCCTAAATTCTAGTAATCGTGGAGCGTATCGGTCTTTCGGGAATTTTTAGCTAAAGTATTGCATTTTTACTTGAGCTTTTGGTAAAAATTCCTCTACGTACGCAACACCATAATCAACATTTAGGGGTAAATTTCAATAAAATTTTCACTCCGTGTATTTAACAATATTGAAACTGACTCGTTACATTTCACCGAATTAAAGTGAGAATTTTCATATTGAATTGGATAATTCTTGAAAATAATTATCATTCTCTTGTGTTTCTTATTTCTTCAATTGAAAAACGTGTGAATGAACGGGATGTTAATGAATTCAATTGAATTAATCGATTTTGCAAAAAACTTTGGTCTCTAATATTTTAATTCAGAATAGATAAAAAATTTTTTACTTCTTTTGTTAAATAGGTTAAAGTCATATTAATGACGGGGCGATAGCAGTGGTCGATAGGTTGATTGATCGAATGTTTGTCTGTGAGTGCATTATTGGTAGCCTTTAACAATGGACAACAGTATATTTATTTGTCGGGAAATAGTTATTACGGATACAATCCTCTTTACTGTTGTTGTTTTCTTTATTCATAACGATTTGCACGATTATTTATTTGCGTGTGTGTAGTAATGAAGAATTATTTTCTCTCACGAGAAAAAATAAATCAATCATCTTTCTGTTTTATCTTTATCACTAATGTGCGCCAAATACTGATTGATTTATCATTTTGTCTATTGTTTGACAGTCGATGCTGGTGAATGGAGGGTCCGGCAGATCTACTCTCGTAGCGTTATGTGTAATAGTGAAAATTCTTGTGATTAATGTGGATCCCCCGTAATGTCAAATTAACATTTTTAACGTTCCCACTGTTTTTTGTCCTTTTGTTTTATCTGTGAGACATATTTTTTCAAGTTTCTCTCTTTAACTTTCACGTTTCGCTCGTCTGTTTTACTTCAGCTCCACTCTTCTCATTTCTCTTTTATCTATCTTCACGTAATGAATATATATTTTGGCTTTTTTGTTTTTGTATTCAACGGGTGGGCATGTTTTTCACGCCTCGGTCGGCTCCTCATCGAGCAGCTAAAGACAATCCTTGAAAGCGTGTCTCACTAAGTTAACTACAAAGTCATTGACAGGGGAGATGAGTAATGAGGACTCTCTTTCTCGTGAATGAGAAAGATAAAGAGAATAACGAATCTGAGCCGGGTGTGCCTGGTGTTACCCTGAGGGTTCTTGGTGTGTCCTAATGTTTTCACTTTAACACGCGTCGTAATCGGTTGTAAAAATGTGTCGAAGCTGAGGTTTTTCTTCCTGGGTTAGAGGAGGCGGCTGGCGTTGTGTTGTGTGTCATCCTCTCGGTTATGTAGATTATCGTGTCTCGTGAATGTCGTTGACATTTTTTTATACCGAGATTGTGCATCACCATTACCTACATGTGTGTTATCATTTTGTCCATTATGTGGTGCAGAGATATGCTCTAATGTGCTGATATTGTTACTGAGTCTGAAAGCTAAATGCATTTAGCAACGGCAAAATCCCAATAAATTTTATATCAAATATCATCTACACATTAATTCATGCGACATTGAGATGACTAAGATATTAAATATAACATTTATTTGAATGAAGTGTTTCGGTGGGGCGGGAGGAGGGGTAAGTTTAGAAGTTGTGGAGGAAGTGAAGTGTTCGGTGAATCGCGGGGACAGACAGTCGCCAAGAATCATTTCTGCGGGTGTGTGCATCGATCAAGGAAAGGCGAGAAAACGTAGATAGAGTGGTTGTTGCCCTGAAAACCAAGAATCTTATTCCAATTCACTTAGTATTCCCTGTGTCATGTCGATCATGTGACTCGCCCTTTCTTTTTTCCCATCGGAAATGCCTTTCAGTGTATCAAACAGATTTATATCAGAGTTGGTGGAGTGAGGGGCAACGAGTTTTATTTGATCATAAAAAAAGGTGAGGCTTGGGATTTTGGGATGACACCGGGGGAATAGTTCTCGGCCCGGGGGTTGGAAATAGACGAGATGGAAGGAGGGAGAATGGCAAGCTAAAAGTGATACCAGAATAGCGAACATTACTCTTTGGATGCAAACTGAACTTTGTCGGGGGTTATTGAGTAGCAAAAGTATGTATTAACTGTTGAGGTAAAAATTATTGAGGATGTCGTGGGGATTTTGCGCAACGGATTTTAAGAATGGTCGATAAAAATTTGCGTTTTTTTTTTTGTAAAAAAATAGCATTACGGATATCCAAGTACTTTGGCGATTTTTCTACCAGTGAAATGATTTTCTGCTTTGGTAGTACATTAGAGCTGTCATTTAAGCCCCATTTGACCCAAAGTTTCCGGAGATTTTACAATGATTTTATTATTTAAACTTTACAGGTCTGAATTTGAATCTCGATGTTGAATGCACGTATGAAAAAATCGTATAGAAATTTTCTGTACGGAATGCGTATAGAATTTCTGTAGGATTTTCGTATATGATATTCGGATATTTCTATGCGGATATTTTTTATACAAATTAATTCTATACGATTTCTATAGATTTGATCCTATACGACCTACTGCCACATGTATAGAAATGTTTCGCATGGAGTTGTGACATTTCTCTACGTTTTTCTCTGGAGCGTTTAGACATCTTTCAAATGAATACAAAAATTTATGTAAAAATTTATGTATAGAAATAATTCGTATAGAAATATCCGAATATCATATATGGAACTCCTATAGAATTTTTATACGCAATCCGTATAGAAAATTTCTACACGCTTTTATCATATGTGATGAAACGTCGACATATGAGATTTTTAGAGAATGTCTATCTGTACGTCCAAAATTCTGAGAATTTTTAAAATAAATTTTTGCAGAAAAAGGACTAAAGTGATGGATGAAAATCTGAACTTTTGGCTCATAATTGGTTTTATTTGGAAGCATATCCGGGCGAAATTTCAGCTCAATCGGCCCAGTAATTTTTGAGATACAGCGATTCCGAAAAATTTTTCTTTTCTCAATATTTCGAAAACTACTGCACCAAATGAACTTTTTTTGGCGTCAAAATATTCTTTATGATAATATCTATCGAACCACAGCATAATATGCCTAGCTAACTATTGCGAATCACCCAGTAGCCGACATTTATCATTTTTGTGATAAAACTGATGTGAACACGTTAACGCTTGAAAAGAATTGACATAGAAAGTTGACATTTGGTAGGATTCTAGCTCTTACTATATTACAGGCTGGGATTCCAGATGAGCGAAATCGAATGAGTAGTTTTAAAGATATTCAATTTTTTGTGCAAAACTATATTGTTCAATATCTCAAAAATTATTCATCTGATTTCAATTTTTTTTTAAATATTCGTCTTGATGTCTCCTATCTAGTTCTATCAAAATATATATACCAGTTCCTACAAAGTTTACGAGATATTGGCGTTTTTCTATTTTTCTTGTCTGAAAGTTGCTTTGATGTTCCATTACATAAGTGAAGGATGT